GGTTTCAGTTTATGCTGGGTGACTAAACGCAAAATAGGTTACTACCAAGGTCGATCAGTCTTGTTTTTTCGCAGTACCTTTTGAAGGCATTTTCAAATGAAGTATAGTCCGGGGACGTTACCCTAACCACAACTGAAGTATCTGAATATTCAGACATTAAAATATTTCTAGCTCTAGAAATTGAATTCGATGCAAAAAATGCTTCTTCCCAGTCCTCGCAGAATGGCAGAATGAAAGATGGCGCCTAAATCTCGCACCCAAATATCTTGAGAACGGAAACCGTTCGGAGAAAGATAGAGTTCAAGTTTATTTTCCCGAACGTTCGGAAAAATGGTCACTTCGATTAATGGGGTAATCCGGTTTTGGCCCCAACGATAACTATACTATGAAGTGTGGGTTTTGGCTCCACCGACAATTACTTCAGGTTCTAAACAATTAAAATTTAGACCTAGAGACTATTCGACGTGCATGCCAATAAGATGTTTGACGCTCGACGAGCAAGAGATGGGGGCCTTTCAAACCTAATTTCAAAATATCAAACAAGGGATTAGGACTAGATTCTAGGTCAGGGGAGAACACCCCCCCCCTTGTAAAAAACAAGTGAAATATTGCTGCTCATTTTGTACTGAAAAATAGCAGCGCCTCTCGCTCTCTTTTGAATAAATCATTGTTACTGAGTTTTTATTTAGGCTGGCTGTGGCTAGCCTATCTATGCGTAGGCTATGCGTGTACTGCCCTCTAAAAGTAGATCTAGATTTAGATCTAATTAAGTATGCTCACGGCTTTGATAATCGCTAGGCTGGACCGCGTCACTTAATCGATCGATATCTTGGCCTCGACAAAGATCATGTATAACAAGATAGTTCACCCCTCTATTTGAGCCAATTAAAAAAAAGTGTCCTCAAAATTTGGTGGCGTCCTCTTCTAAAAAGTGCGTATTTTGCGATCAGAGTTACCCTACTTGTGTGAAAAATAATTATTTTAAAGTGAAATCAGATAGCTTAGAATCTAGTATACACACTCTCTGGTGAAACTAACAAACTGTGCTAATTCTTACTCTGGAGAAATGAAAGAGAGCTTTAAAACAAAGACTGCAGCATCATCTGGACCAATGCGGACTTCCACTGACACTTTTTTTGGCTGAGAGAACTATCTTTTTATGTATGATCTTTGGCCAAGAGACAGTCAACAAGGTCAGGATAACTTGCAAAGTCATTGGTCACTATATAACTTAGACCTGTAATTTAAGTACGTCATTTTCCGTGTGTATGAATACTGAAATTTCATTGAAAAGGGTCAGCGTCTGTGTACTATGCCCTTTATATAGAGGGTCTGCGCACTTCCCGATCGAAGTAGGTCATCCCTATAGGCCTATATATATAGTAAAGGGCCTGCGTGCTTCCCGGATAGCCAGGCTCACTTATATCTAGGGCCTGCGTGCTTCCCGGATAGCCAGGCTCACTTATATCTAGGGCCTGCGTGCTTCCCGGATAGCCAGGCTCACTTATATCTAGGGCCTGCGCGCTTCCAGGGTTAAGTTTGTCCACTTGTAGTGTCCGGTTTGATAGTTTATTTTTGCCGCCTACAAAGCCTAGCATTATGTGAAGTGTAGAGCCGTACACATAGCCACAGGAGTATTTATGGTGTGACTATTGAGACATGAACACAATCCTGTGGAGGCTCAGCCCTGGCCTGGCTCCCCTAGTCATTTCTGGTAGAGATTGGTTTTCGGTGCCCTTAAATGCTGATCACGCATTTCCCGGTCGAAGCAATTTTATGCAAACTGCAAGATGCATTTTGTCGAAAAAGAAAGAGAAGCATGTCATTCTCAAAAAGAAAAAGACCCACAATGTACTGTAATTGCATTCATACTAGGGGAGGAGTTCTGCAGAGGGCTGACACTTACCGTGATAAGCTCTATTGAGCAAACTGTACAAGAGTTAAAGTTAGGGTTTGTGTTGTTTTTATTAAATTCATCTTCCAAAATTGTTTCATTCTTTCTTTTGTCCCTTCCAAAATACTGAACCCAACATTTTGTATCCCGTTCAAAATATCCCTTCTTTTGTGTGTTGTTGGTTGGCCGGCCCCGTGCGGAACTCCTTCCCTTGCTAGAGTAGAAGGACACAGCCATTTTTATTTAAGTCGGTATCGATATCCAGTACCTTTGGTGGGGCCAAACCCGGAGAATGTTGTTTTAATTTCACCTTAGATTAGGCTTGACTCACTTGATACTTTACAGTTACATCATGTGTGTCTATTCAACATAACTTAAGTTAGGTTTAGATTTTTATAAATGACACACCTTGCCCTCTGTCTCAACTGCTTCTCAAGAATTTCTGATCGCCAGTTTCAAGTCTTGTAATAGTTTCATCACAACTCATTGTAGTCTGCAATACAATTTTGGGCACACTATCTTACATTTTATTGTTTTGCTGAATGTACTGACTATTTTTGTTATGTGCTCTGGCTCTGCTAGAATTGGGAATGTGTTTTGAGCTAGAAGAAGCAAATGAGATTGGATAATCGGTATAATTCGGGGTTTGGCCTCAACGATAACTATGGAGTGTGGGTTTGGACTTCACCAATGATTACTTCAGGTTCTAAACGATTACTTTTCGATAGGGCGGAGCAAGTACCCGGGGTACCCGGGCAAAGAGCTCAAAACCGACGGGCACCCAAGTTTTGTTTTCCCCTGCGTTAAATAAATCCTATGCTAATTAATGCACTTAAATTACGTCCCTTTGTCCGAACCTTAATAAGTACTGGACACTTATCGATACTGAGCTCTCTTAGTCGATACAGTACAGTACTCGATCAATATTGGCCGCTGGCAGTTCTTTTACATAGTGAGCTTTGCAAGCGGGTCACCACACAACTTGAGGCTGAGGACATATATATATATTTTGTGGCAGCATCAACTATCCTCGACCGCTGTTTCAAACGACTCCCTTTCAGGGAAGGCGCAATGAAAAAAATAGAAACTCTCCTTCTTTCAATGATTAGAGACAAACAAGGAGACAGACCAAATCAAACAGCAGGCTCTTCATCGGTTTCAGCTGCTGAAACAGAATCTCCGGCAAAACTTTTTTAAAAACCAACCCCTCACCCGAAAAAAAACAACCCCTCCCCTTAAAAAACCCCAATGATAATTGAAATGTCGGGTACCCGACGGGTACTCTGGTATTTTTTTCATTACTCGGGTACCGGGATGGTATTACCTGGGCATCAAATTGTCAGTGTAAACCCAGCCCTCCTTTTTGACCCATGTGCCAATATGTTGTTTGACGTGTGGCGAGCCATAGACATCAAACCAAACCCCCCATACATATTGGGTAAGGGGCCCCCCTGAAACTCCTCTTTGTTAAAAACAAAACAAGTGAAGTATTACTGCTCATTTTGTACTGAAAAATAGCAGCACATCTCTCACCTTTTTTGGATAAAACATCAATACTGAGTATTTAAGTAAGTATCGATATCCATACTCTTGGGGCCAAAACCTTAGAATGCGGGGTAAACCTGGGTCGAAATTTTTTTATTGGGAGTTCTCCTTTATGATATTTCCAGAACTTCTCCTTGTTATTACTGTAATTTAAGGTCTGTCGTTACTAATTTAGAATTATTTTGGTTGATTTATGACTTGCCCTTTTTTCTTCAGCAAAGTGTCACTCGTGCATTTCCATTACAAATCAGTCACACTGTATGCGCTGTGTTCAGACTTCATTTTGGTCGCTGAGGCTCTTTTTGAACTTTGACTTTTGAGCTTATTATTCTTTTATCCTTTTTAACATTTAATTTCACTCTCTGCTTTTTAACTTTTTTGTCCTGTAAACTTTGTTTTACCTGTGAACAATGATAATAAAATCAAAGCAAATGAAACCCTCGTGCCATGGTGTGGCTGGGGCCACAATAATATTCCTGTTGTTTTAAAAAAAGTGAATACGTTTTCTGTAAAGGGATGTCTTATCTAGTACTAGATCTAGTAGTGCCTCTGTGATAATTTTGAATTTGTTGAAGAAAACTTAAACCGAAAAAAATTTACAATTATTGTCTTGTTTTCATTTGAATGGTGCCATGGAGGAGGAAAGTGGTCTCAGGCATTGCAAGCTTCTAATCTATACAAAAGACATATTTAGCTTTCCGACGTGACTGGGAGTACATTCTACTAGACAGAATGTTATTACCCTGTTTATTCATATTAATACCCTGATTTTGCGGGATGCAAAGGATTGTGGCAGCCAGTTGCGACTTGTTGTAACTCTTTCAAGATATAACTTTTTTTTAAAAAGAATGGAAGAGAACAAGGTTTATGTGGACCTTATTATAATATAACATCTTTAGGCTCTTTTAATTCTTGAATTGTTCCTTCCCCCCCCCCCCCTTGAAGTCAGGTTCAAATGTTTTAAAGACTGAGGCTGCTGTTCATTTCAACAAAATTACTAGCGGGCCCATTGCTTTAAAAAGGCATGATGGTACAAAAAGGGCTACAAGTATGTTATTTTCTAGAGAAGGTTTAAGGATACTACAGTTGTAACGCCCCTGGAGAAGTGTACAAGTTTACCTCACTCTAGAAGAGTGACTACTAAGATCTTTTTTTTTTTTTCTTTTCTGTTTGTTTGGCTTTATAACTGAATTGCCTTATTTTTAGAATATTTCCTCAGTGTTGCATCTATTCAGTCGTTGCCTGGTATTAAATCCGGAAGGATGCTCAATATAAATTGAGTTTACCATCACTAATTATATCTGGGCCTTTCAGTTAAAGTAACCCTGGCTCGTGATAGATTGGTTTTGTCTCTTTATTAACAATGAATTTTTGTTAGCAATTCACTGGATTGGAAAATTAACTCTAAAACAAAGAAGGAACTGAATATGCAGCATGCATTGTTTCCTTCATTTTTTGGTACAGAAAGCCATTAACACCCCAACCCACCCCCCCCCCCCCCCCACCCCAACTTTTCCCTGAATTAAAAAAAGAATTAATTGAATACTTTTCTCATCCACAGACAAGCAATGGAGAAGTATAAGCCAATTGCACCCCAGACGGTGCCTCAGTCTAGTGATGAAGCTCTTTCACAAACAGCCAACCAGACTCCTCAAGGGGCCCAACTCACCCCAGCTGTCACAACCAGTCATCCCCATTCGACCTCAGTTGGACAGCCGTTATTCGGGGCCGGTACTCCACCCATCACGGGAATTTACATACAGTTTGGTACTCAGCCATCTTCAGTTCCAGTGTTGCCCCCACAGATTGTTTCCAATCTGTCCAGCAGTATTTCCAACTTGACTACCTCATCCAGCAGCCGGCAACGCCCAGCTGTAAGCCTGCAGTCCAACGCCCTTGTAGGTGTGTCTCCAATCGCTACAGTGTCTGTAGCTGCAGCCCAGAAGACTCTGACCAAACAGGTCACTTCCCAATCAGTTAGTACGAAAACATCATCAAAGTCAAGCAAAGGTCGTGGTAGCAGTGTTTTGCCGCAAAAGGTTCCTCCCCAGTCTCCAGACGTGTTGTCTCATACCCTCAAGAGCTGTGGCATCATTCAGTCACCTGGGGTCAACTCACCTGGCCAAAATGTTGACTCCCCATTGGTGGATCGGCCAACTCTTACATCGACTCCAGTCTCGGTTGGCAGCTCCCACCCTAGACGAAAACATTCATCAGTGAGAAATTTGCACAACGAATTTGACAATGCTGCCTGTACAGTGGCTGATGATGCAAGTCTTTCGGAAGAAATGGATGACACACTTTGTGACTCGGTAAAAGAGAAAGGAGATGCCAATTCCCAGAACAGTGATGACATTGAGGAGGAATCAGAGTCTGGTCTCTATACAGACCCAACACTGTACGATGAAGAGGAAGGTACAGGTCTCAGAGGCAAAGGATTTCTACAGGATGTGGGGAACGTTGAATTAAATGAGACTTTTATAGTACCTGCCAGTAAAAGTAATATTCTTCCTGGTATGCCCTTGAAGGGTTTACATCCAAAAGGTTCCCCCCAGGAAATGTCATCACCAAAAAGTTTGCCAATGGAAGATTTACAGACAGAAAGTTTGCCATTTAAGCATTTGCAGTCACAGAGTTCAGAGCAAATGGAGTCATCACAGACTCTTCCATCTTCCAAGTCTGCCAGACCATCTGCTAATGATGACATTGAAATGATCCCACAGTCATTGAGCATTTCTAAGAAGGCTGCCGATGGGACCCATGAAGAAGGGATGCAAAATGTTGGGAGTATGAATGAGTCTGAAGAAAGCAGCTCTTTCACTCATGTTGATGAAAAGATGGATGTGCAGACAGACGGCCCAGTTACATTGCTGAGGTCAAAACCAAAGTCACTGTCACCGCCTCAGTCCAATAGCTTACTCGGTCATAAAGAGTTGGAAATGGCTTCAAAATTGTGTTCTGCTGGAGGATCTTTAGGGTCTGATACTGAAGGGAAAAAAGTTGTGGGCCCTGGAGCCACCTCTCCAAGTCGAGAGACTCATATATCAAGTGGGCCACAACATGCACTGAACAAACCATCAACTCCTAAGAAAACTCCTCGGAGGTGCCGAAGACGCATTGAAGCTCAGCTGAAGACCCCTCCGAAGCTACAAACAATCGCCCCAAAGGCACTCTCACCGAATCAAGCCAATGCCCCAGCATATGTTCCTCTGCCAAAGATCAGCCCAAAAAGGAAAGCTCTCAATCAACAAGTCCGGCATATTTTACCAAAGTCTTTCACGTTTGAGGTAAAGTCTCCCTCCCCAACAAAAGCAGCTGCCATGGTGCTGAGCAAGAAAGCCAAGCTGCATCAGCAACAGAAGAGTCCTGCAAAAATCCTGCCAATGCCTGAACCAGCCCCTACAGTGAACATAAAGGACCTGACTCCTTCTAAGGTAGTCACCCGATCCCAGAGGGGGCGCCCAAGGAGTATCACAATAGGTATGGTTTTGCGTTGTAAAAGTATTAACTTTTGTATTATTTAAAGGATGAAAATGAGGTTGCTTTATTGTTTCGAAAGTAAATTTTTTGCGTCAATTTTTATCGGTACTAAATTTGTCACTCTGAGACAAACTTGTAGAAATGTATTACACCTCAAACAACCCAAATTTAAGAATGACCTGTTGTGAATTGAGTCAACGTTATAAAATTTGAATTTTTTTGTTTGAGCCAGTCTTCATTTGATAGGTAATTATGAGAACCCAAAGTGATGCTGTACGGGTCTAATTTGCCACTTGGTACACGACTTGATGGTGTCATTTTTGGTATAAGCACCCTTGCTATAAGCGGACAAAGACTAGTTTGTATATCAGTATGATGACTAGACTTTCTGTATGAGCATAAAGGTCATGTCAGTTTTCTTGTCTTCTTGAATTTGGTGGTGTTCTTCTGTGGTAGGAGAGAGTATGATTTTGTTTTTATTTTTACCTTGAAATGACATGTTTCTTTTTTTTGGTCAATAAAAATGAAAGTAAAAGTCTCACCAAGGCATTTTTGTGCAATAGTAAATTAAACGCTGAAGGCTTGAATTTGAATATATTTTTTAGCCTTATTATTGTGTTTACAACAATTGTTATAAGTCTTTAATGAAAATGAACAAACTGATTTGTCTGTGTTCAGGGTGTCAGAAGACTCCTCCTGCCAAAAACAAATGTAAAACCAAAGCCACTGCACAATCATCACGAGATCTGAAAGAAGTTGAGGAGACAGTCTCTGGAAATGCCCCAAAACCTGTGTCTGGTGAGGCAGAGAAAACGGGGACATCATCGTCACAAGATCAGCTTGATGCTGAGGGTGCTCTGAACAGTGACACAGAGGATGTGCACCTTGATGATCTCATGGCTGCGTGTACCACCATTGGGTCAGTTATATTTTTGTATTGTTTGCAGTAGATAATGCAATATAAACATTTTTTGGTGGGTGGTTGGCGGGTGCTCTGGTGTGGTTTGCTTCTTCTTTCCTATCAAACATCTTTCGTCTTTATCTCCCCTTTTTCTTTTTTATGTTTGTTACTCTCTTGTAACTCCAATCTTCTGGAGCTCAAATGACCAGTTGCGACCGCTGTAAAACCTCTACTAAAACTAAACTAAAACATTTTTTGTGACCGCTGTGTTCTCCAATCTGTTTGAAGCTGTCGTAATAAAATATTGTTTATAGCAGAGGCAGTGATATTCTTCAGTCACTTGATATTCAATACACGTCTATTCCACTTATGTTAAGGCACTCCAACATAGGTGCGAACACTCTTTTAAGGTTCTTTAATTTCACACAATTATGCCAAGTTTTGATTTTTTAGGGGCATATATATATAAAAACTTAAGCTTTTTCCAGTATATAATTATATTTTTCTCCACACTGTCTCACAGGTACGACCCCAAGAAACTTGTTACTGCAGACTCTGACACTAAGACAAAAGCTCAAAAGAGGAAGGATGCTTTTATGGCCATTTTTGAGCCAGATATTGTGGATTCTGACCCTAAGGTATGCTCATCATTTTTGTGCTGAGGAAATGCATAAAAGTTTGTATGGTGGTTTAGAAAATAGTCTTTCTTTCTTTAAACTGACTTTTGCACAGACTGCAAGTTTTTCAACACCTACATTCACCAACCTGAAAATGGGCTCATGGCATTTGGTAGAGAGAACATGCAGAACGCCGTTCATGGTCTGAAAGAGTCAGATTTCTTTTTGATGTATTATGGTGTCATCTGAGGCTTCTTTCAAAGGGAAAAGTTCCTATTCACCATCTCTTCAAGTGAAGAAATAACGTTTGCTCTTAAAATCTGTCGTGTAAGTTAATTTACTTTTCGTCACCATAAAGAAGATCAGCTTTTCAAAGCTCAAGGTGAATGTGTTGTACATGTTTGTTTCAAACAGAAAGATGAGCGTGACACGGCGTATGCCCAGCATTATTTCAACCGGGTCAAGTCTGCTCTGGAGGAAGACCAGGAGCATTTCCTCAAGTTTCTCACTCTCCTGCGAGATGTGAACAAAGACCACACCAACCCTGTGGAGGTGAGTGCTTTTGTTTATACTTTCTTACTTTTTGTCTCTGGAGGGGGTTTTCTCCACAATGCCAGGGGCGTCATTTAATATGAAACCTGAGAGTGACTTACACATCACTAAATTGGTCATTAACACTTTGCAGTCACTCTGCCAGCAGTATGAAATACCCCATCTGGTCACCCAGCCAGGAGAGCGGCTGCAACCGACTTCTTGGGCCTGGCACAGTACTGGAACGGATAAGTTTCAACGGTGCATTATTGCGCAAAGTGACCGCAAAGTGTTAAATCAAAACACATGAACCTATTTTGATTGTTCTTCATCTAATTAAAGAACTCCCAGTAAAAAAGACCTGTTATTGGCAATTTTATCAAATTAATATAACGTCAATGTTATAAAGGAATGTGGCAGAGCCACTGCCATCAGATCACCTGTACAGCAGTTTTGACCACAAGCAGCTTAATAGTTAAAGTGACATTGTTGTTGGAGGCGTTATTCTGTTAAACCTACAGACCCTAGCTTGTGAGTCTAATTCTTCGCATTGGTTTGGTCCAAAAAAAATTTTTCTAAACTTCTCACAGTTGTCTGCTGGAGATCAGTGTGTACTCGGGTGAAAAATTACCATAGATGGGTGTTGTGTCAAAAAGATAATCTGTGCTTTTTGTTATGATGTACAAGGTAAGACTGGGACTGACTGGTATTCTTTTCAAAAGTGGGTCTAAGATGGGTACACATTTAAAGAAATACAGTGGAGTCCACTTAAACTGAAATTTGTGGGACTGCAGATTTTCTTCAGTTTATCTGGACTTTTGGTTTAGAGAGGCTGCTCAAATAGAAGAGAAAGAATCTGGGATTTTTATTTTCTTTCATTTCACTTCTGTTTTCGGATTGATCATATATTTGGTTTAAGCGGACTCCATTGTATAATGCAACAGACTCAGTATAAAATGAGATCTAGGGAGGCTGTACAATGAGCAAAGTAAGCTTACTGCAGATTGGTGTTCTTATCCAAAGGTGATCTATAGTTTGTTGGCTTTTTTATTTGGCAGTATCAAGTTGATCCCCATCACCTACCAAAATTATCAAAATGCCCATCAGTGGACATTATCGCCCAGATTATTAGCAAACACAGGTGACGGGCATCTGCGGTGTAGCAGTTACGTGCTTTTCTGTCTCACACAGGAGACCTGGGTTCAATTTCTAAGTGGGGAGAAATTATCAAGAGTTGTGGTCTTTCTGTTGGGATGTATCCCTCCTAGCCCAGATCGGCCCTGACGGGCAGGGTGGGAATGCTTGCTTCCTAAATGATCTAAATTGTGCCGATGATGGTGTAAAAACACAAACTTAAAAAAAAAGAAAAAAAAACAACATTGGTGTTGAGGGAGCAAAGTAAAGCTCTTCAGATTAGCATCCTGTCTAAGGGGTGATGTGTCCTGGAAAGCTTGGTGTCGGAAGTAACACTCTCAGAATTCTTTTAGTTTCATTGTTACACTTGCTGCGACTGCACTAGATCTAATCTTTAGGTATCAAATGGTAAGACAGACTTCTTTTGCTAGGACATATCTTTGAAAGCTTCTCGTGCAGGCTGTGCACTATTACAGTTACCCTTTTCCCTTGTTCTTATCAAATTGTGTCAATGGGGACATAAACCATTTACCACTGTTTTTATCATTTCAGTGCTATTTTTACCCCTCGTATCACCTTCTAGATTCATGTTACGTTAAGATTCACAGTGCACATAGTGTCATATTTAGAAAATTCATACAATCTATCTCACTCTCAGTGCTGAGAAAAACAAAAGCATTTATACCAAGTGATGGGTCATTGATACCAAGTGATGTTATTCTCAGTAGAGAAATAAGAATAAAGGTTTGTAATTTAGCAGGGCTCAAATAAAGAAGCAAAACGCAAGCTATTTGAGCACTGGAGTTCCCCGTTACAATTTTATGGTGTGAATCCTGGACATAATCCCTCAATGTCCCCATAAACAGTCTAGTATTTTTCTCACCGCTGCATGCATCCCTATAGAAGTCACCAACTGGCCCGATTCTCATTTTGTCATGTGCATTTTGCCTTCATCATCTCAACAACACTGGCATGCAAACCTCAATGTGTATGTGGTTTGGCAGGTGCTCTGTTGTGGTGTGCTCCTTCTTTCCTGTCAAACATGTATCGTCCTCACCTCTCTTCCTTCTTTGTTTGTGTCTCTTGTAACACCTCTAATCTTCAGCAATTATATGACCTAATAGTGTTGCAAGTGCCTTAAAACTCTCATTAAAAACAAAACAGACATCATCAGTGTGCTGAGCCTTGTCATCTGTCAACTGTTTTTAGATCTTTATTTAAAAATGAGTGTTTTATATGTGATGGGGGTCCAATCGCCTTAAACACTGAATAAACTTACTCACTTGAACTGTTTTTGGAACCCACCAATCTAAAACTTTTCTATTTCCCACCTCATTAAAGACAGTTCTGTGAACTATTGAGTTTTAAAGATCTAGAACAACAGCATGTCATGAATTTCAAGCTTCTTGTCATCATGAATTTTTCAAAAATGTTCTGCATTTTTTCTGTGTTGGCGGACAGATGACAGCCTCTAATTTGCTCATCATGTAGATTTGTATGCCCCTCTTTAGATAAATTACACGAAGTCCAATGGTAAACCTTCACTTACATAAAACATTCTCTGCATGAACATAAACACTTTCAAGTTCTGCCTGAATGTCAGTGGGATTTTTCTCCTGCCCTGAATGTCAGTGGGATTTTTCTCCTGCCCTGAATTAAAGATCTAATCTTTTCTTTTGACCGATGTTGTATATCGGTGGCCATCTTTGTTGAAATGTAGTAAAATGGTTGCAATTTTTTTTGTTCATTTAAATGGTGCACGCAAATCAAGTGTTACCTGAACTGTACTAAGAACTTTTCAGAGAATTGTAAATATTAACTAGGTATTTAAATGTGGCTATGTTCCTGTTATTTCTGGGACAGCCCTATGTATGAGAGACGGACTGTCTTTATGATTAAACCTGTTATGTAGCCCTCTCGGTTTGATACAGAAATTCTCCTGAAAGAGCCACAGACCAGCTCCTGAGAGGATTTTTGTTGCCATTAGGAAACCGTAAAATCATAAAAGGCTCCCGGTTTGCTGTTATTAAGCAGTAAATTAAGGAGTCTGAAGGGTCAACCAACCACTTTTCATTATATCATCCTGAAAGAGCTAGAAGGATTAATTGCCCTTGCAAGTGGAGAAAAGAGCAGAATGTTGAGCCCTTTAATAATAGTATCGAGGGATACCTCTTTTTATTTTTCCTTTGTCATGCTTGTGCCGTTTGGTTTTAAAAAAGATCTTGGTGTAACAGAAATCATGTGTTGATCATGCACCAGATGGTGGGGACATTGAGTGCTGAATGAGTGCTTTATGCATGAAAATGAAAGAAAAAAGATTTGCTTGAACTTGGTCTTGAAGGTGACAAAAGCATAAAAAACTTTATTGGTCCCCTGCTTACTGACTCTTGCTTTCCCGCTATCTCTTGTTTGTATACTCCAACAGCAGATTTCAGCGCTGGTGAATGGTTATCAAAGTACATGTTTTTGTCATTTACAGATTCAAAATACCATTGATGATTATGAAAATGCTAAATATATGATTTGTTTGAAATTTGATATTTGGTGGTACTTTTACAGCATCATACTCATCAACTATAATCTCATTTTACAGACTTGTTATCTTTTGGAACCGAATGAAATTATGAAATTATTATAAATTTTGTTAATAAGGTTTTGAAACGAATAGTTTTTAAAAAATGAAGACTGGTTGGTCAATGGAATTGTAAATGATTATAAATTTTGTTAAAAAGGTTTATTGTTTTTAAAAAGTGAATACTAGTTAGTCAGTGGAATGGCTTTTTTAGATTATTTGTTCTAGGGGGGTTTGTCTATTATGTGCAATGTACTGAACCTCTAGATTGCTGGGTTTATACAGTATACATTCTTTTTAACTTTTTAAAGTCGTGAGTCAGGTTGTTAGTAATGTTAGACAATACTGACTAAATATAGCGTGGAACAACCAAGAGGACAGAATGAACATATATAAAATTCTATTCTTCTGTATTTCGACTGCTCTGTGCAAGACTTTCTTTTCATTCTTCAATGTAGACCAAGTGCTCAGAAAAAATTGTTATGTTAGGAGGGTGAAAACCAAAAAGTCTGTGTTTTGTCTTTGTTAGTCATATGCTATGTTCATTGTGCATGTGAATGAAGATACATGGGATTTGACTTATGAAAATATTGTTTACACTGCAGGACTGCTTTTTCAGCAAGTGTCATATTCTGTGAATATTTCCACTGCTGGACTTTGTTCGTGGGTGGTTGGTGGGTGCTCTGGTGTGGTTTGCTTCTTCTTTCCTATCAAACATCTATCGTCTTTACCTCTCCTTCTTCTTTTTTGTTTGTTACTGTCTTGTAACGGCTCTTATCTTCTGGCGCTCATATGACCATATGCAGTTGCGAGTACTGAACTACCAAGACTTATCTAAAGATTGTTCTGTTGACATTACCTCATCAAATATCTGGACTGCTCTCTATCTTGAGTGTTCATTGCTTTTCTCTGTATAGAATTCCTCCTCCCCGTTCCAGTCTATCAACAAGACAGCTACTCATGAATTACATGTATACTTTTATGCTACTTTACAGTCACCCTGAGTATGGCTCTTCCTATCGTTCTCAGTACGTATACAATGTCACAGGAGTGAGGGGTTTTGGGGTTGCGTCCTTGGGAAAGGCACCCTACTCGAATTTCCCATTTCACTCAGTCCTTTTGGAGATAGACATTAAACTCGGAGGTCCCGCCTCTTAAAAAAATAACCTAATAGTGTTGATACGGGCCTTAGACCTATACCATTTTCACGGTTGTTAACGAAGGAATGTTACCCGCCGTATCAAAATATGTCATTGGGGCATTTTGTGTGAAGGAGTATCACAAGCACTTTTAGCATTATGGTGAACGTTGGTTCAGGTAACCCTGATTCCAAAGTCCAGTAGAGCTTTCTTGAGTTAAAGTTGTTTTGTGTTTTTCATTGTTTTTTTAACTGCTTGCTGCTTGGCTCAGTCCTAGTAGACTTGTTTTTGTTTTTGGTGAGTGTTTTACTGCGCTCACAACTGCAGAAGGTCTTATGAGCACACAGGACGCATAAAATATTTTTAAGTTTGGTAGAAATTAATTTTGAATTTTTGCCCAGGTGGCGGCCGAAGCCTATTCTTATTGATTTTGGACCTCCAGGGGATCGTTGATGTGAGCAACTTGCATGCAGGACCTCCAAGATTTTTCGCTCTTCAAGAACGCTAGGTGTTAGATCTTACCTACTCTAAGAATAAGATCAGGGTTGTGGCTGAAAGACAGCAATACGAAGGAGCCATAGAGCAGCAGTAGAAAGGCTGCAGAAAGAGTCAGGAGCCCAGTGGGGGGGGGGGGGGGGCAGAAAGTGTGGACAAAAGCAGACGACAGAACATGGTTACAGAGCAGGAAAGGATGTGAAAGGAGAAAATTTTAGAGAAGAAAATTGTCCGTCGCTGTCAGGTTTCAAACCCGGGACCTATTGAATGAGAAGCGAACACCTTAACCTCTAGACAACTAGAACCTCCCTAATAGACTTTGGAGGTCCCACCACTGAAATGTTTTCAAGTAAAAGCTCTGTTGAAGGCTACTCTTCCACATCCTTTGCTTGGGTTTCCTATGCCTCCCCACACAGTGTCAATTTAATGTTGATTATATTAACATCCTTTTTCAATTTACATTAATGACATTATTGGTTAAGACTGAGCGAATGCCGTAAAACCCTCTACTATTTAAAAAAAAAATAAGACTGAGCAATGACCAAAAAAATGATGGATCATGCATAGTTTTAGAATGAACAAAAAGACTCAATTTTAGTGCTAGAGAGAGGAATGTGGGTGTACATTGGTGTGGAAATGAGGGGGTAGCAGAGGTGGGGAGGAAGTGTAAATAAAACAGAACATGCCACTTAAAAGTTTTGAAATGTAGGTGAAGTTATAATGCTACAATTTACAGACACAGTATTTGTCTACATATTGTGTTTATTTCGTGATTTTGGCTTTTGTGTTTTTGACCAATAACCAAGAACAGTTTAGTTTATTTACATCATGTTCGTTTTCATTTTCGGATTTAATATTTTTCAAAAGTCAATGAAAGTAATGAACAAATGAAAATGTAACAAGTCACCATTTCTGGTGAACAACATTTTAAAAGCTCTTTTGATCAAAATGTGCAAAATTGAAAAGTTACATAGTGAGACAAAACAAGTAAATAACAAATTGTGATCCTTGAATCCATTTTTTATAACAATAATAATAATAATTGCATTTATATAGCGCCTATCCATGCCCAAGAGCATGCTCTATGTGTTTTACAACTATTATTACCCCAGCAGACACTCTGAGAACACTCAAGAAACATTCTCGGCTTCCGCGGAAGCATACAGTGCGAGCTGCGGATTTCACGCGCTCAAACACTATCAAACTGACAAGATCGTTCACTGTCTATAGCCAGGTACCCATTTCCACCTGGGTGAAGTGAGGAAAATTTGTGCAAAGTGCCTTTCCCACGGACACAACGTCGAGCCCCTGACGGGATTCGAACCCACGACCTTACAGCTTTGAATCCGATAGCCTAACCACTAGGCCACCGACGCCACATGATATGAGATTCTAAGAAACAGCCCTATGAGCAGCAAAAAATAAATAGTACATGAAAAAGCTGTAACGGTTCAAAAGTACATCTTTTCTGCAGGACTCTAAAAGGCTAACTCAGTTACTGTACATTTTTACAAGAGTGAAAAAATTAAAAAGCAAGGCTATTAATACACATTTTATCTGTTCGGAATCCAACATTGTGGTGACTATTTGAAAATTTCAATCTTGCTGAAAATTATTTATAGGATTTGTTATGTGATGTCAGTCAGAATTCAACGGGGGGGGGGGGGGGCAGACACCATATTTTCGGAGTTACCTGTTTAGAATCCTGCAGCTACAACGTGCATTAATCCGTAGATGTGTTCCGAAATGTTTCTTTAAACTTAAACAACCTTTGCATTGCCAGTGCATGTGTTCTTGTTTCTCTGAGTCAACATCTCTATGACACATATGTTCATTAAAAAATCTTTATTAATCCTCACAGCCCCAGCCACATAAGTTTCCTTCACAAGTTCTCATTCCCTCAGACCCAGTCGCATATATTTACTTTGGGGGGTGCTCTCGTGTAGTTTGCTCCTTCTCTCCTACCGAACATCTATCATCCTTATCACTCATCTTTCTTTTTTATGTTTGTTACTCTCTTGTAACACCTCTAATCTTCAGCTCTTATATGACCAAATTGTGTTGCAAGTGCCGCAAAACGCTCACTAAAACAAAACAAAAATAAAACAAACATATATTTCCCTCACAGAACATTTGCCGCCTCAAACCCAGTTATTTATTTTTATCGTAATCTATTTGTCATTTTAAAAAATATTCCACATGTTATATGTTCTTAAACCTCAAACCAAAGCAGTAGAGATTTTTTTTTCATGTCCACAAAAAAACTAGACACAATCAGTAATTGCTGGGCTTGTAGGGTCAAATACTCCAATATTACTGAGGCCAGAGGGAAGTGAGGGCTAGAAATAGCCTGGTGCTGTTAGGGTTAAAAGCATTTGTGATATTAGGCTCTGGGCCTGCAGGCAAAAGATCCGAGTTTGTTTCTCTGATGGAGAAGTGTTTTTCTTCAGGGTTGACCCTGACAGTACAGGTAGGGTCATTGCAACCCAGTTTCTAGATAATGTAGATTATGGAGATGGAGGCGCAGAACATTTATTGCAAGTAACCGAATTTCAGAACCAGTGAGCTTGGTTTCTGTTCACAAAAGTTTTCACACAGAACTCAGTGGTTCTGGTCTGTCCGAAAGACTACTGTTCTCAACTGTTTCCACATTCTCCTCACTGATACTTACAAGTTTATTTTCTATGTTTGCAATTCTTTTGCCCTGGTAGACACCAGTAAGGTGAGCACCATCCACGCTGATGGTGGCGATTTGTGTGTCAGTGGAGTGGATGCTGCTCACCTCTGGGTTTTTTCCTCTGTTGCTGTCGCTGCGCCAGCTGAGACTGCTGCTCTCACTCGAGCGTCTGCGTTTGGAAATTGTCATTTCTGTAGCGACAGAGTCTATGTTGGCTGGGAAGACGCGGCGCAGCTTGCGCTGGTAGCAGGAGCGGACGAGATGAACAAGTTGCTGTCTGAAACGGTTTCCAGTGAGGCAGTAGAGGAAAAAGTTGATGCAGTGGTTGCCGTACATGAAGAGATTTGTCAAGCTTGCGGTCAGCGTGTATCGGGCAAGGATTTCAAAGTCTGTGGTGTTTGGTTTGGGTTTGAAATTGAAGATCGTTGGTCGAATGATCTGTAAGATGACACGTGGAGCTGTCATGATCATAAAAGTGAAGGACACTGTCAAAAGTGTTATTGTCATTTTGCGATTACTGCGTCCTGCAGAATTTGGGTTTTCTACTTTTACTGACCCTTTAAGAAAGGAGTTCTGCCTCAGAGCTTTTGCATGATTTTTGATGATGAGAAAGTTGAAAATGAGAAGGATGAAAAAGGGAAGGAAAGAATAAACTGTTGCGTCTAACCATGGCCACACAGTGTCCACAAAGTGTGCGTACTCGTTATAGGCCTGGCAGGTGGTGGTGACTCCATTTTTATTGTAATTGACAGCCATGGTCACAAAAAAGTGGATGTTGATGAGAGCCATGACAGCCATTATGCCAATGATCGTCAGGCGAGCACGGCGTGGGGTAGAGTGGACCAGAGCTTTAAGGGGGAAAGTGATAGCTAAATAACGGTCAATTGTCATTGCAACCAATATCCAAGCGGAGACACTAAAGCTCCAATAAGCCATGAAGGTAAGCACTCTGCAGGAGGCAGTGTCTTGATTCCGAGGGTCAAGACCCTTGGTGTGCAACCAACGCACGAGGCAAACGCCCAGCACCACAGAAAGGTCTGCAAAGGCTAGTCCCGCCATGTAGTTGCAGACTGGCAACCGGGAAAGGCTCAGCATGACCACCAGGGCCAGAGTGTTTGCTACAGTGCCCACCACCACCTCTGCTAGGTAGCCATACTGATTCAGTGACGAGGCCAATGTGTATTCTGGGTAGTTGCTCAAAATTGCCTCCAGTAAATCCTGCGCGCTGATGATGCCAATAGGAAATGCAGGGATAGTTTCATTGGGTAAAGAAGTGGTGCTGGGTTCTATCACACTGTGGTCGGTTGGAATAAACAAGTCAATCTTTGAGCTGTTATTCATGGTGAATGAAAATGCCACGTTTTCTTGTCCATTTGGAATGCACGGATGTGAGGTTTTATCCATTCTGAATTAGGTTTCCATACTTCCTCAAGTTAATGTTTAATCCCCAGAAGAGTTTTTTGGTTCACTTTATCCGACTTCCTGGTTTCACACGGTCTTGTGGAGATCAAATGCAATAATGTGTCGGGGGAACATGAGCTGTTAGTTTTACTAGCAAGTCACAACAACGGTTAAGGTCATATGTCAAGGTCTCTGATTCTGGAAAACAGCAGGCGAAAATTTGTGAGACAACAGTAGCGAGCTAACTGGTTGTAAAATCGCGACACAGACCTGCAGTAAATCAGAGGCCAAGCTATGAGACGGTTGCTTTGTGTGGTAACAATAGCAGGCCATTTTGAGACTTGAGTCTGGCGTAATTCTTCGGAACGCACATGAGCACGTCTTTATGACCTGCAAGGCTCTCCACTGATTAGCAAGCGAGCTGTTTATTGCTGCTATTTCCTTCGAAAGCTCCTTGGGTGTAATAAACAGTGGGAACCAGCCATGGAGGCCCCCCTCTGTGTTTGTTTTGTCATAACTAACACTTTATCGGGACCACACATTCAACACTAAAGATTTATGACATGTCCCAAGTCTGTGAAACAGACTGCTGTGATGATGGAATGTTTTTAAAATTTTACTAACAAAAAGGAGGTCAAAATTTTGGTAGCTGGTGTGGTACAAGTATAAATTTTGTCATTTTTGGGGTAGGTAAATGTCTTCACTGCCAGATGCACTGATTTTGGAAGGCAAGTGTTTCTCCTTGAAACTGTGTTTTTGTATCTCAAAGTAGTGAGAAGGCAGTTATTGAAAACCATAGTCAGATTTTTTTAATTGCACTGTGTGTAGACAGAATTTTTGCTCAAGTTTTTTATGTTGGGGTGGGTATTAATATAAATAGACATCAGCCTCTCTTGTCACATAGTCCAACAGAGCACATGTTTAAGGAACAGGTTTTCATCTTGTTTGTTTTGGGGGGTTTTTGGCGGGGAGGTTTTTTTGGAAGTTTTCATATGTCACATTTTGCAGATTTTAATTTTCCCAGTGTGCATAGTTCTGGAAATGATTTAAATGTGTTATGACCCGGGGGATCTCCCCCCCCCCCCCCCCTTGCTTGTCAGTTTTTGAGCATGTGGAGTTACTGGCATCATCTTAAAGCTTGTTTATTTATCTTGCTTTTTATGAAAAAATATAGGCATCTATCTTGAATAGAAGTGAACATATATTCGTTACTGAAGGAGGTGGGGGAATCACTGTTTTTAAGAGAAAAATTAGCAGGAAAATGGCCACTGAAGTTTGGTGACTTCATGGCTTGAGAGTTGTTGGAAAATGCAAACTAACATTTGTTATGCCTTTAATCAATTCAATAAAATATTTGTCAACTTGAGCAAAGATGCCGGTTTCATCTATTTCATTATTTTGACAGCTGTCTGATTTCACCACGATGCCTCACAAATTGTGTTGATAGGAGCATAATATAACTTTCATTCAATCATTCTCAAAGGGGGGATATTAAAATTTTCTTATGCACTGTAGAATTGTAAACTGGCTTATTTATCAATGTCAGGCTCATACGGTGCCGGAACAAGATAAGGCGAACTGCTGCTTTTTCTTTCCTCATCCTTACTAGGGTCATTTTTGCCTCTACTTCCTTTGCATGTTTGTCACTCTTATGAACTGCTATATCCAGGGTGCCTTGATAGTCGAAGCAAACATTGTGCTGTTGAGGCTAAAGAGATGAGCAGAGTAAGCCAGGTTCCCCGTTTGGACTTTTCTGTTGACATCCACCCATTGGCACTTCTCTGACTTTATGCGAGCACACTAAAACCTTACTTAAACTAGGACTTAAATGCTCACAATGCATTGCTTTATATATGGCAGGGGGGTAGCTTGTAATGGTACAGTGTTATAGAACCTTTTTTCTATTTTTATTTTTTATTTTTTTCCCCTGCTTAGCTGCAAAATAAAGTTAAAAAGAGATAAAAATTTGGAGATAAAGAGGTTTTCAAATTTTAAAAGTAGACTGTTTAATGTAGCTCCCTGTCAGCAGCTCTTGTCTCAAAAATGCAGCCCTGCATTACTAGAAACTTAAATGACAAACAAAGTAAGATAATGTCATGTCTTAAGTTTAGCAAATGTAAATGCGGTATAACTGTCACTTTTGATTGGGAGCTTATTGTTAACCTTTCTGTTAGTGTTGATTCCCATGGCAATCAAAAGGACATCCTTGTTGAAATCTGATAATTTTTCCCAACTAGCCAGTTTCAGTATCCAAGCATATCTACAAAAAGATTATTTTCATAGATGTAAAGAAAGTGACCTAAAGGTCACGCACAACACACACACAACACACACACGCACAATCACACACACACACACACAATCACATACAACACACATACACACACGCACAATCACACACACAATGACACACACACACACACACACACACTCATGCTCAACATTGTTGTGTGTATCTCGGCGTCCTGGTTCCTTGTATACTTCAACTCAACAACATGAAACTGTCCAGCACTGGCCAGTCAAGGTTCTTAGACTTGTAAACTTCCTTCACATTGTGTTAAAGAAAAATGGTACTCGAAGTTGAATACAAAACTCTGTTCTCTTAGAAAAAAATGATCGAATCTGTTTTTTCAAAATGCTTTCTTCTTGTTCTCGACAGCTGTACGTGGACATGGTGTCTCTCCTGTCAGATCACCAAGACCTGGTGGACGACTTTGCTGGCTTCTTGTTGTCCTTCCAGGCTGTTGTCTGTGGCTGCTTGGTGCCCAGCCTGGAGTACACCCAGATCCGAGAGATTCTCCGAAAGTTGGAGGTGAGTTGATTCTCTTTGTCAGTGGCCCTTTGATTGGTCCAGCACAACCAAACTTAATTAGATAAGGTCCATACTTTCATAATCGCTCGCTTTCTTCTAGAATGAATTTGGGCAAAAGAAACGCTGGAAAAAATAGTTAACAGAATAAACATTTTTTAGCATGGACAACCCCCCACCCCTACCTCACCTCCTACACACACACAAACGCACACACACATTCACACACACACACTCACACACAGATACACGTACACACACATGCGCTACCATTGTACCGTCGTAAGAAGTTTTGTTTTTTCGTGGACCCTGTCTTACTGAAGAAAAGCATCGATCCCACAAACTATTTTTCAATTCTTTAGAAACAGCAGTAGAACATGACAGTGGAAAAGGTGCCAAGAAAAATCATGGGGTGTTGTGACCCTCCTCTTTACTTTAATAGTCCACTGTCCACTCATTACCCTTTTTTTTGGGGGGGGGGGGTCTCTTGACCTAAATGTTTTGTCACCTATTTTAATCTTGCTGTGGTCTTTTTCAGGGTACAGCTTAATTGAAAGAGTCAGAAAAATAAAAGATAAAGGGTCTTAGTTTCATTGTTCTAAAAAAGAGTTCTTAGTATGATGTCTTGTGTCGAGGAAGACTGCACAACATAGCAATTAAATTACTTGTAACGGCTGGCTGGCTATCTTTAAATGAGAGTGATAGCCTTTACAAATTACCCAAACTCGTAGCATATTATGTAGGAGTCCAGCTGTTTTATGCATTTTTTTTTAAAAGTAATCTCAAGGTAATTTACAACCTTTATTTTTCTGACTCCTTCAATTTTTTATTTTCTTTGGCTCTGCTGATTGGCTTCCTGAAAAGCTTACCAATGTGTTTTTGTTTCTTTTCTTTTTTTTAATTGTCCTCCCTTAGATGTACTGTGACTCGTCTGCTTCGTGCTCGTTCCAACGCACACTGAAAATGCTGCTGCGCTGGTTGTCCATGACCCAGGGGGAGCAGCCAGACATGGCTCTGAAGGAGAGACTGATGGCCATCTTCAAACACGTCCCTGGGCTTATGGACTACTTGATGTCCTACTTCCTGCATGAGCCCATCCCGGACTGGTATGTTGGTCTGTCCTCGCGGTTTTATGCCAAAAAAGTTCTGAAATTATGCAAACTGAGCCGAAAAATGTGAAATTATACGATTCTGTTGATTTTAACAAAGGACAATAAAGGATAAATATCAGAAATTATGCAAAAAATGATCAAATTTTGCTAAATTATGCGGGGTGCATAAAACCACAGGGACTGGTTGGAAGGCTTCAGGACTTTTCTCTGACCTCCATGATTCTTTTCTGCCAGAAGTGGTCTCACTGGCCTCAGTAGAAGCCACAACATCATCTCAACTCTTCTTTCTTCTATTTTACTATACTGTCCTCCACAGATACATTGGTCATCGTCAAGGACTGACAGACAAACTATTATTATCATCATTATTAGTAGTAGTATGGTAGAAACTGACTACTGTCAAACCTGTGTCAAGGAGAAAAGTGGCCGTATAAGACAGGTGGCCGTCTTAGGCAGGACTGATCAAGATGAAGAAAACAAACCATTCCCATCTGAGGTCCCATTCGAAAGTAGCCGTATTGTTGTTGTTTTTTATGTTGTTGTTGGTGGTGGTGGTTTGTATTTTGTTTGTAATTTTTATTTTGTTGCTGATTTTGCACAAGGGTGACAATAAAATTAAATGTATCAGACGAGGAAGACTGAGTGCCACGTTAAAACAAGCACATGGGTCGCCACCACTCGGAGAACGAGCGACGCTTCTGTCACAAGTTCATGTTGACGTCCTTTGTTGCTTTGTTACAGACTGGGTAAACAGTGACCACTCATCTCACTTACGATTTGTGTATGAGTTCTGGGCGGGGCTTATGGGTTATGAGAGATCACACGCTTACCTCTCCAGCAGCTGAAAATTGGTAGTTATTGGTCAACAGTGGGAGGGGCCTACACAACATGAACGGTTGGAGGGACTACCTAACAACAACGACAAGTGATTGAATTGTGACGGTTCGCCCACAATGCCTGGGGCTAATGCACAATGTATGACAAAACGTAATGGAGTCACTAAGGTGGCCGTCTTAGACAGGTGTTATTGCTTAGTGTGATAGGAGTTGTGTGTTAAAATATGGTGGCCGAGGCCGCGTTGGACAGGTGACCGTTTTATACAGTTAAATTATATAGAAAAAACGCAAGGGGGGGAAATGGAAAGTGTCCGTTTGTACGGGTGGCCGTCTTATAAAGGTGTCCGTCAGGGCAGGTTTGACTGTACTTTCAAACCATTTCCTGATATCTTCAAGACATCGGGGTACAAGAAGCCAGGCTAATGGTATTTCATACTATTTATGTACTATAAACGAACTGAAGTACAATTGATTGTAAAATGCTGCAAATTGCTTTTATATACATTTTAAAGAGCTTTCCAGTTTAATTAATGGACAGACAAGAAGCAAATGCTAGCTTAAAGAAACTAAATAAGATGATTGCTATATTAACAATCAGGTTATTGGAATGTTTTGTAGTCACACTCTCTTTTAGTTCAAATCAACATTCCATGAACAGTATGGAGAGTATGATTGATAGATCAGTCTTCTTCTGTCTGGGCAATGTAAGAATGAACAATTGGCAAATAAACCTCTCATAGCATATGCTGTAAGGCATGTGAGCTGAGTATGACTGATCATTTTTCGAAAGTCTAATGGTTCTGAGATTATTTCAGTTGGCTAGACAATGTATTTTAGGCTAGCTGACCATATATACTCATCATCATTAAGTGCCAGATTTCTGACGAACGTTGGCGATCATAGTTCACTGTTCATTCCTTTGCTCAGATGTTCTAAAAAAAAGCTCCAGATCTTTCTGCCCAAAATTTATATCCTTTTTTTTTCATTGCAATTTATTAATCTGTGGTAAGAGTTGAATGTGCTCAAGAAAATATTTAGTCAAAATTCAAATTCTGAAAGTTGATTAAAAAAACTAGTAAAGATACGTAAATTAGATACGATTATTAAAAGACAGAAAAGGTTTATTTTTTTATCTCTCATGAAAAATTTGGCTTTTTTGGCTTGGAACATTTGACCAACTTGCTGATAGTATACTGTTTTGTCAAGGACAGACTCTTGAGTAGATTCTGCTTCTTCATTTTTTTTCACGTTTCTTGACAGCAAAATCCTACGTTTAATACTTCTTGGGAGAGTTTTCCTCGTTAAATGTAACAGTATTTTGTTACAGCTAATTTATGTAGGTTTTTTTTTTTTTTTTTTTTTTTTTTTTTGCTGCTGAGCAGACGCTGCATCCTGAGCTGCTCTATTACAAAAGTCTTCTTTGATCAGATAAATTGTCTCTATGTCATAGTGTCTCGTTCGTGTTGGTAAGTCCTTTCTAAAACCTTTGCTTTTTTTACTGTCCAAACTCGGGGAAAACATTTTCTGCGGTTTCAAAGTTTTCCCTTTTCTTTTTTTTCGGTTTGCAGTTCAAAAGAGGAGTTTGAGGATGTGGACCTGGAGGCAAAGATGGAACTTGGAGACGCAGTGGATGAGTTTGAGGAGATCAACCTGTGCTCAGGCAGAGAGGACTACAACACCAAGCAGTGTACGTGTTCCTGTCATCAAGACGCACTGGACTCCAAGCTCCGACGGAAGATCACACATTGTTTCTCATGCAGCTTACAGGTGATTCACTCTTGATTTTCTGTATTGCAGTGTATCGGATATGTTGTTTGTGGTTGGCGGGTGGTCTGGTGTGGTTTGCTTCTACCCTATCAGACATCTATCGCCTTTATCTCCCCTTGTTCTTTTTTATGTTTGTTACTCTCTTGTAACACCTCTAATCTTCAGCACTTATATGACCTTATTGTGTTGCAAGTGCCGTAAAACACTTACTAAAACTAAACTTTTTTTGTTTGTATTTTGTTTTGTTTTGTTTGTTGGGGTTGGTGGGGGGGTGGGGGTGTAGGCTGATTTAAAGGCAGGACCCTTTTGCCTTCTTACTGAACTTTGGTTTGCATAAAGATTCCAGGAAGACAAGAACATTTTGGCCAGCTCAGATTTTGCCCTGGAATTTTACCTACGGCTAAATTAACCCTGTGCTTTGCAAAATATGGCATTTTTTGTGAATTGTGAATTCTTTTTTTTTTAATCCCCAGGATAATAGTAATCCACTAAAATACGGTACCTTAAAAACATAAAAAATTTTTATACCAGTTTCAGAAAATCTGTCAGCTTCAAAGATGTTGGAAATATTATGAATGATGTGTTTATCAATATTTAGTCACATTTATAATTTAAATCGTTCCATCAACTGTCAAAGAATTATATTGTCAACATTTACATACAAAAATTAGAGCACACTAGAATACACCAAATTTGAACTCATTGGCTTTAAGTCATAGATTCCTGGAACTGGAATTTTATTCTTTTAACATAAATAAAGTAAGCTAGTTTTTGTTTCTGTGGATAAGTGGAGCAGATTTATTTCAGTGAATAAGTTGAGCTCCAGTTTTTTTCCTGAAGCCTTTGTTCAGGCATACTTAGGGACATAATAATAGAGATGGACCAAAGGGAGCAGTGTTATTGCATTGTTAAGTGATTGCAGTCCCAGGGAGTGAAGGATAAGGTGAGAAGTATTTTTATTAAAGAGCCTTCGGTGAAAGACACAAGAAGGGATAGTGAGACACTTTATGTTGAGTAGACAATACTGTTGAATGCTGTGCTTTTCTGCTCTCCTTTGATGGTTGGCCTTAAGACCAAAACTGCTTTGGATGCTATGGCAATATGACAAAGAAATGATAATGTGTCGCCCATATCTGAGAAAGGAACAAGAACATACTGTACCATTTATGTTTTAAAGCATACAATTCGAGCTGTTTAGATTAGAAGTAGAAAGTAATCTTTAGTTTGTGTTTAGTGTTTTGTGGGTGCAATGCATATTACAGTCGAACCTGCCTTAACGGAAACCTGTGTAAAACGGAAACCTGTCTTTACGGAATTTCCCCGCTCCCCCCCTTGATATATTCCTCTTTAATTACCTGTATAAAACGGAAACCTATCCATTGAAGAAACGGGGAAAAAATCCACTCCCTTCCGAGGATTTTACTTGTCTTAAGACGGAAAATGTTTTGCCTGTTCAGTCTTGATTAGAAAGAAAACTAGCAAGTTTGGTTCCATCCGCCGGCTCTAAACGTAACGCTATTATGCCGGGCGAGGAAGGGGAGTAGGGATACAATTTACGGGTAGATGCAACCCCATCTATGTGAGCCCTAAGCGATGAAGATGGTCAGGATGGTGTGGGTGTGAAATCTCAGGAGTGCCAGTGAAAGTGCTCGAGTGAGGCTCCAGCACTGAAACTTTCATTGGTAGCCAGAGGCGTGAAATTGGTTTGACCAATGCCTGCCCCCCTTGTCGTACTGCCAGCCGAGAAAAGAGTTCCTCGAACTGTTGTTACATGGCAGTGAGGGGTGGCATTGGTTGACTGTGCTTATTACACCGATGGGTGGGGCTAAGGGTGGAAGCAAAGGAAATGTTCAAACAGTGGTCCTATGAAACACAAGCACTGATGGTAACTGGATTAAGTAAGACTGACACATGTCGTTATCAGAGTGGATAGCTGCTGAGAGGTGTGACCTTTTGTCCACTTGTGATTGCTTGCCGACCACACGGCGACCCTTGATCCCACCGCCTTTGACACCCCCCCACCCATCTCCCCACTAAATTCCCCAGTCTAAGATGGAAAAGTGTAAGGCATAATTTTTTTCTGGCTCCCTAGCAATTCCATCTTACACAGGTTCGACTGTACTTGAATTGTCATTCTTGAAGCTAACAGGTCTTTCTTATCCTTGGCAGTTTGAGTTGTGTATGTGCAGCAGTCTTAATCATCAGCGTACAGAATATGATTATTTTGGCTAATATTGGTTCTCTGTTGTCCTCAGATGAGCGATGGTTTACCTGTGCTGAAGAGGTCAAGATTCTCGTTCGAAGCGCTTAAAGTAATCTATCCACTGGAGGAAAAGGAAAAGCTAGCCAGGGCCAAACGAGAGGCTGCCAAGTTAGCTTTAGCAAAGGCTCGGTCTCAGAAGCCTGGCAAAAAGAAAGGCAGGCCTGGATCGAAAAGAACAAGAAAGAAATCTGTTGGATCAGATGTTAAATTGGAGCCTGTAGTGGCATCCTCGAATGCAAATTCTCAAAACCCAGTGTTATCATCATCATCACATCCTGTGCAAGAGTCGACAGTCAGCCAAGCCGTCCAATCACCTATTGTGAATGTGGTACCTGTGTCAGTGTCAAACAAAGCGGAAATTACTTCTCGTGCCCTGGAGGCAACAAAGGTCCAACGGGAGGCCCCAAAGGAGACTACAAAAGAAGCGCAAGCCATTCAGGACAACAGCAGTGGAACCCTTAAGATTGTGATCAACACTTCAGCCTGGAAGTCTGGGCCTTCTTCTCATCACACAAACTACGGGTTGCCCTCTGTGCCAAGTCCCACAATCTCCACAGTGCCATCATCTGTTTCCTCCCTCGCTGAGCCCTCCGTGCGCCTTCCCAGTGTCCCTTTGACTGTCACTGCCAGCTCTACTCCCCCACAAGCTCCTGGAACGCCAGTGCAACTTCCCTTTCCTGTTCGACCTTACATGTCCCCTGGCCTGACCCCTGGAATGACTAGCACCCCAGTGGCTACAGGTCTCCGACTTCCTGTGTTTTTTACCGTGAAGCCACAGAAGTTTCTTGCAGAGGAACAGAAGGGTTCTCCAGAACCTACCGTGCCTGCTAAAAAAGTCCCAAAATTGAAAGTAAAAAAGTCCCAGAGTAAAGCAGGGAAATCAAAGTCTTCGAAGCAATTTGTGGCGTTTGAGAATATTGACTCTCAAAACATTAGTGTGTCCATTCAGAGCAGACCTGAAGACAGAATTGCTACAGATGCTTCACAAGAGTTGCATGTCTCCGATTGCCCGTCATCTCCACTGACTGAACCACCCCCAGTAAGCCCTGTCCTTGACAGACTGAACCCTGGTGGTGAGACCACAGCACAAGTAGAGGCAGGTCCTTGCTCCGAGCCGCACACTTCCTTTCTCCAACCAGAACCTGTGGCGGTTAGCTCAAAGGGAGATCATGCAGATTCGATGTCGATGGCTAGTTCTAGTAAAAAGGACGACAGTCTCTTCAAAGCTCCTTGTGAAGTGCTGGATCTTGCATCAGGGGACAGTATTCTGCAGATCTCCCCAAGCAAATTGAGAGGAAAAATCCCTGGGTCTCTGATTCGTTCTCATCTTGAGCATTTCTCTCTTGGAGGTTTTGAGGAGTCCTTAGACATGCAACAAATCCAGCAGTTGGCTCAGGCCATATCACCAGGTAAAGGTCACGGGGAATCCATGTCTAGGTTTGACCTCATGGCCTTTTTGGAGTCGTCCAATCTGACGCTGGCATCCAATCTCACGCTAAAAGATTCTCTCTTCCCTGGTGGCTCTGGCACAACAGAATCGAGCTCCGCAGGCAGGGTGTCCTTCGCTGGTGCACTCTCACAACATAAGACATCTAGAGAAGGTACGGATGCTTCAGGACAAGCTGGGTCCTGTGGCACTGAAGGTCAGATCAGTGCTTCCAGCAGCCATGCAAATGAAGGCGCTCAGGTGGCTTTGCAGAACAAGACAGATGGTCCTCCAGAAGATCACACTGCTGGCAGTGCTGTTTTAGGAGAAGACACCAGCTCCTCATATACTGCTCCACCTTCTGTTGCCACGCTGGACAACTTGAATTGGACAGAGTAAGTGTATTATTATGAAGAGTGGCACCAGATGCTTTCACTCTAGTTATGGTTCATTTTAAACTTGAGTTGAAGAAGCTTAGAAGGCATTTACTCATTTCCCACAAGTGTCAGTTTTACTTCAAATAATGTTACTGTGAAAATGTCACTACAGTTAGGAATTGTACTGCCTCTCTTCTCCCCCCCCCCCTTCCCCAGTTCCATCGTATACGACAGCAATCTGCCCTTAATAATATACTGTGGAACTTGCCATGACAGCCACCTGTATAATACGACCTACAAACGGCCACTTTCCATTTCCCCCCTTACTTTTTTTCTATATAACTTAACTGTGTAAAATGGTCACCTGTCCAAAACGGTCACCTGTCCAAAGCAGCCGCGGCCACCTTATTTTATCTACCCATGGTCAAACTTACCTGCCTCAGGCGGCCAGGTGTGGTCACTCATTGCCCGACACTTTGTCATAAATTTCAGGCTATTCATTCACCTGTCGTTATTGTTTCTCCCTCCAATGAAAGTTGACCAATGAGTAGGCTAACAATAAATTTTCAACAGCTGTTGAGGGAAGCATGATCCGTCATGACCTATAAGCCCCGCCCACAACTCATGCACAAATCGTGTGTAAGGTGACTGGTCACTGTTTTGTTTACCTAATCTTTAACAAAGTGACAATGGACATTGATGTGAACTTGGGACAGAAGTTTCGCTTGCTCTCCGAGTGGTGGCAACTTGTGTGTTTGTTTTACCATGGCACTCAGTCTTCATTGTCTTACTTACATAATATTTCATTTATTTTACCCTTACACAAAATCAACAACAAAAAGAAAGCTAAGCAACAACAACAAAAAACCAAAAAAAAGCCTTCTTACACCACCCACCCCCTTTTTTTTTAAAGAAAACAAAAACCCTTTTGAATTAGCCTTACAGCAGTCTAAAGCCTGAGATCAGCCCTGGTTTGGGCCTCGGAAAAGAATGGTTTGCTTTCTTCACTTTGATCAGTCATGCCTAAGATGGCCACCTGTGTTATACGGCCGCTTTTCTCCTTGACAGTGGGTGGCCGTTTTACACAGGTTTGACTGTTGTTTGTCACAGCTTATTTATCTTTCCCAAAGTTTTTTTCCTTTTAACTTGAGTCCAGAATTTCTAGAATTTCAAAATCCTGCTTGAATCTTGAAATAGTTATGTGGGGGGGGGGGGGGGGGGGAATTGAAACTGCTAACCATCTCAATTCTGTCATTGTGACTGGGTATTTTATAATGCCCATTGGTGAAATATACAAAAACTAATTTATTTTCACAGTCAAAATAAGCAGCTGTGGCAGACATCCTTCACTACTTTTACTTTAAAGGGATCAACAAAAATATCTTAGTGCTAATCGAAGTCAGTGTCTGGAAATGGATCTTGGGTATGTGAAACCTGTCCATGTGAAAGTATAATTTGCAAATGGGGGAACCAAATCAGTTGGGACTTTTCTTTTTCTACATAACTACTTCAACTTCAACATTATCCTGGGACATTTATTTTCATTGGGGTTATTTAGATATACAGTCGAACCTGTGTAAGATGGAATCGCAAGGGAGCCAGAAAAAAATTGCGTCTTAGACAGGGAATTTAAGGGTGAGGTGGAGGGGGATTTCAAAGGCCCAGCCGGTGGGATCAAGGGTCGCTTGTCCAGTTGGCAAGCAGTGTTCAGTCAAAACTTCACACATCTCTACTCCTTTCCTCTCTGATAATGGCATTCGTCAGTCTTACTTATCCATTGCCACTAGTGCTTGCATTTCATAGGAAACCATTTGACCTTTTAGAAACAGAAGCGTTTGAACATCTCCTTAGCCCCACCCATCAGTGTAATAAGCACAGTCAACCAATCCCACCCCTCGCTTCCATGTAACAACAATTTGAGGCACTCTTTTCTCAGTTGGCCATATGGTCTGGGCGGCAGGCATATGTCAAACTAATTTCTTCACCTCTCTAGCTTCTGACTACCCAGGAAAATTTCCACGGTGGCTCGCTACTCGAGCACTTACACTGCCACCCTTGAGATTTTACACCCACATCACCCAGACCATCTGAACCACTCAGAGCTCACATAGAATCATACATGTGGTAACATCTACTCCCAAATTGCACCCCTACTCTCTTTCCTTGCCCTTACTCTCTTTCCTTGCCCTGCGGCATGGCGTTAAGTTTAGAGCCGGTGAAACCAAGCTTGCTAGTTTTCTTTCAAATCAGGGCTGAGCGGACTAAGCATTTTCCGTCTAAGACAGGTAAAACCCTGGGAAGGGAGCGGATTTTTCTTTCCGTGTCCGCGTTGGACAGGTTTCTGTTTTATGCAGGTAATTAAATTAATTCCGTTTTATACAGGTAATTAAAGAGGAATGTATCAAGGGGGGGTTGTAGGGAGATTCAGTAAAGATAGATTTCCGTTTTACCCATCTTTCCATTAAGGCAGGTTCAACTGTATATATACAAGTTACATTGGGACAATGTCCAGTACATCTGATAATGCTGGTGTTGAAGAAAGGGGTTTTCCAGTAGTGTCCCTGTAGGTTCTACTTCGTCATTATTCTCCAGTAGTACCCTTGTCGGTATTGCTGTCATTTTTATATTGAAGGATGGACTTCATGGATAAATCTTGTATTAAAATTAATAAATTAGCCAGTTGCTCTCAGTTTTTCTTTGGTCAGTCGGTTGGGTTGTTTTTTGTTGTTGTTGTTCAAAGCAAAAATGTGGGGTGTGGTGTGTGAGAGCTCTTACAAGAACGCATTGTTTTTGGAAAAAGTGCCAAAATGTAAGGATTACTTAATGTTTCTACCTATCTTGGTTCTTCAGGGCTTGGGACATCGCCATTTTGAATGTGGTCACTGAAGAAGGAGTTACTCCATCTGCCATAGATCGGCTTCACAGGGAAATACCGCAGAAGTCCTTGGATGAGGTATGAGGCACTGTTTTGATCTGTTTTTTTTCTTGGATTTGTTTTAAGGTAATAGGCATGTAGTTTAAATGTACCTCTGGTAGATTCTACTTCTTTTCTATCCCTCTTTTGTTTCTGTCTCTTTATCTTACAGTTTTTACTTCACTGTATGATTTTGTGTGTGGTTGGCAGGTGCACTAGAATGGTTTGCTTTTTCTTTTCTGTCAAACATCCATCCTCCTTATCTCTTCTCCTTTTTTTTTTCATTTGTATGTTACTCTTCAGGAATACTTCTAATCTTTGGCAGTTGTATTGTATAACCTATTTGAGTTGCCATTGTCGCAAATCTTGTAGGCCTACTAAAACTTTTTTTTTTTTTTTAAACAGATTAAATGACGGTTATTGTGTTGATTTGCATCTCTTTATTCAAACTATTTTTAATAAGGCAATAGAAGTTTTAACATTATATTAATTATAAACTGTATTGAATCTTTTGAGAAGCGTAAGTGGCTTGAGCAGTAAGCAAGCAGAGGCACTTTGAGTAATTCAGTGAATAAGTTGGCATGTCATTACAGTTGTAAAGTGCTTGGAATCTTGTTTGGAGAGTGTTTTTGTTTTTATTTAACTTTGCAAATTCAAGGCTTACTCTGCTAGAAGTATTCTTGTCACGACACGGTGGAATCGGGTGCACGTCAGTTTCTCTGCAAATTGATTATTGATGGTATAATCAAGAGCTTGTTTATTTGTCATGCTCTTTATTTTTTTTTAAATACCCATCTATCTTTCATAGAAATCGAGATATTTGCAATTCAAGAAGGAAGGGGTTACATAGTGTCAGAGGTAAAATAAGCGAGAAAATGGCCGCCAGTTTGATGATTTCCAGAGCTTGAGAGCGAGAGTCATTGAAAACTGAAATGTGAGACATCATGGTGAAATCAGGCTCTCGTCAAAATGATGAAATCGAAGAGTCCTGCATTTCCTTCTTTTTAGGGAATTTATATCGGATTTTTGCTTTTTGACTCATCACCTTTTAAGTTCATTTAAAAACACATTTCTGTGTGGATCTTACTGAAAAGTGTTGCATAAAGGCACAAAAAAAGTAATTTTGCAGTTTTCGAAGATTCTCAAGCTTTGGAAGTCACCCATATTTGGCGGCCATTTTCTTTCTTGTTTTACCTCTGAAATCAGGCAACCCCTACCTCCTTCAATCGCAAATATCTCAACTTCTATTCAATATTGATGAGTATTTTTTTTTTCAGTAAAGGTAATACAAATGGACAGGCTTTAAGATGATGCCAATAACTCCAGATGCCCAAAAATTGACAAGTGCCTGATTCCACCATGTGACACAAATTTTCCTTTTTATATTTGAATTTGCCTGTGTTCATGTTTTTTCTATAAATCCTTGGCGTAGCAGTTTACGCTTTTAATCGGTTGTCACATATCGTTTCTCTGTTCAATTCAGGAAGGATTTCTTACAGTTGTTCCTTTTAAATCCGAGTTTTTAAAATCTTATTTGTTGATGCTCCTCAGATTGCGACTCGAGCTGAGTTGTTGATACAGTGGGTCCAAAACAATGCAGACACAGACACAGAGAGTGAGGCAGGCAGCTGATCCTTTGAAAGTGAAGGGCAGGAAGCAAGTTTAGAGATGTCTACATCAGAACAATACAGCATCTGCGAGTGAGGCCAACAACAGAATGTCAAGAGTAGATTAGAAGATTGAGGGGGGGGGGGCTGCAGACTCTTTCAGGCAGGGAGGCAACTTGGGATCTCTTGCCAAGACAAGCAGCTGCAGCTGACTGTTAGACCTCACCGGTACTGACACAGTGAGGAAGAGGCATACAACTGATCAGTGCGAGTGGAGTGTTCGTGTGTTGGGGCATGTCCCTGTTGTTAACACATTACACCCAAGGGGTCTGGGTGGGAAGTCTATTCCCAAATCCTAAGCAAGTGGAAGGAACCCACCTATCATAAATACAAACATTTAGAAAAACACATTTTAAAAATACAAAACAAATTCCAAAAATGTCAAAAAAATAACAACTAGAAAGAGAAATGAATATGGTTTCAGAAAAATATAGCTTTATATATGCACAAATTGTTGGAAATGTTCTCTCTTTAGCTCAGTCGGTGTGTTCGACCCTTCACTCTCACTCTCAGTCTCGCAGTTGGGCCCCAAAATATAAATTCTACATCTGATTAATCGAAATTGCCCCCAACTCTTGCTACAATGTTTTTATCAATATTTTATTCATCTGATTTGTCATTTACTTGTTCTTGCTCTAATCCGTGGTTATTTCCTTTTCAAAACAATTGTGTTGCTTTTCAACAAGCAGAGACACCTTCGAAGTGTCGGAAAAGCAATCGCACTTCGATCGGCTCTAAAACTGAAACTACTGGCCCCAAAAAATTCCGTTTCGGTATCGAACGGAAGAAGAAACATTTTGCAATGAACTGTGTAAAACGAAATTTTGGCCCAAGAGTCTCGTTAAGGCTAGACTTCGTTTCTAAAGACGCCTGGTTGGAGCAGGCGAGTTAGGGTGGAGCACGTAGGGAAATTCTCGGGGGATCACGGGCGAGTTAAGGTGTAATGTGTTAAAAGTGACCACAGACTGTGGGTTTTCGAGACTAATTAAATAGTGTTCATCAAGTTTGGTCTTTCTGTTGTTACAATACCACACTTTGCGCAGGTGTTGCTATTAGTTACAGCTTTCACCTGTTTTAAACCTTCATATATTTTTCTTCCAAGACATCCCACTGTTGCATGTTCCTATACCCCATTCAGTATGTTATGATCTGATATGCGTGTGTTGTGTGTTTCTGTGAGTAAATGTACATTTTATGTTTTTTAACTGAATCATTCATTCATGAATGGTTTTCTTTCATCCAATGTCTCTCTGCCATTTTTTAATTCCAATGAGCATATCTTTTTGTAGTCGCAACTGGCAAATCAGTGAGAGTAATAATAGTGTGTCACATCATGCTTAGTGGTCACATCATGTACATTGTCTGTTATTTATTTCAATTTGAATTTTGCATGGACTTTTGTATTTAAAACCCTCTCGAGTGACATAATAATATTACTTTTGTACCGGTACTGATGTTGAAATGAATACATTGCAGAATCCAAAAACAAAGTACCATGAGTTGCCTTTTTGTTTTTCTGGGTTGTTTTTTTTCCCTCAGTCTGTGTCTAATGTAATGTCTGAAAATGGTATTTATGTCTTGTTTATTTTTTTAAGTTTTTTTTCTCATTGAAGAAGGATAAATTCTTTTCTTAATATAGAGACAAAAAACTAAACCTATTAAAATTCTAATTTTTAGACAATGTCTTAAAACCTTGGAAAAATCTCAGTTTACTCTAATGGTGGCCAGTAATGCATGTAGTTCGAGCTAAGTTTACCTTCTTCTGAAACAGGCACTCCACCACTACTGGTGCTACCGGTAGACTGTTGACACTTATTATTGAGTGGAAATTTCTCATTCTTCAGAGCTAAAAGTTTTTAGATCAGAAGACATACCTTACTTTTACACTGTTCCTAGCCTTATGACTTTGTAGTAATGAAGAGGGCCGCCAAGCATAAGACTAGTCATTTATTATTTTAGCAAAATCATGGTGAAATGAGGCCATCATCACGCAGTCTTGAAGTAAACTGCTGCTAATGTCATACATCTAGTTGACTCTTTGTCAACGGTTCTGCAAACAAAGGACAAAAATTTGATATTTTTAGCAAGTACAAGATGAAAGTAGGACCACATAGCCGTCTTGTTTTTTGTCTACTGTTTTCTCTTTTCTTCCTTGCTTCTCATTGCCACCACTACTCTTACGAGTTTGAGTGATTAATGAATGTTCTGTGGTCAGACTCGGCTCCTTTTTCCTGTTTTTGTCACTAATAATTATTTTCTCTTCGCTCAAGCAATTGGAAGGCACCACTAACATGTCTTTACTTTCCCTCCATTCTTTCTTGTCAATCTTGCTTTTCCTCCTCACGTGGGTCATTGGCGGGTGCTCTGGTGTGGTTTGCTTCTTCTTTCCTATCAAACATCTATCGTCTTTATCTCCCCTCCTTCATTTTGTTTTTGTTACTCTCTTGTAACACCTCTAATCTTCGGCACTTACTTATATGACTTTATTGTGTTGCAAGTGCCGTAAAACACTTCTATAAAAATTTTCCTCACATGTAACCCCCAAGGCTCAAGGACTGTATGTGCCAAACTGGCTCATTAGATTAAGAAATACATTTATTTTTTTTACAACCAGCAACAACACTTTTTTCACCCTTTTTAATTCAACTCGCCTCGATACAAGAAATGGAGACGTATTTTTCGACTGCTGTGCTTTGAACATCTAACTCTCACTGGGGGAAAATGAAGGCAAAAGGGTCAGGGACAATTTACTTGAACAGATGGGTAACGGAGGGAAAAAAGCAGAATGCTCAAACTTTTTTTTAGAGGAACCGAGCTAAGGATGAATGGATAACCATGATCGCTGATGTCTGTCGCAGATCTGGCACTTGGTGATAATGTGTGGAGAAATAACTGGAATAATTCTGAGAGAGAATGAGTGAGAGTTTGGTGGGGGTAGGAGGGAGGATGATATTACCCTTTCTTTTGATGACAATGTAGCTCTTTTCTGCCACTGCAATCGATAGCGCTTTTTTTTTTTTAATGGTCCACATTTTGTATTATTATATTATTAGTAGAGAGTTTTACGGCGCTCGCAACTGCATGAGGTCATATGAGCGCCAAGGGGTGGGTGTCAACAGAGAAGTCCTTACAGGGATTCAGACTTACTCTGCTCACCTCTCTAGCTTCAACGGCACAAGGTCTGCTTCGACTATCAAAGCACCCCGGAATTAGCAGGTCACAGCAGAGTGACCAACATACATTGTAAGGATTAGGAAAGAAAAAGCAACAGTTCCCTGTTGCAGATCAGGCACGGTTATGAGCGTGACTTGATGAATCAGCCCATTTACAATTCTACTATGCTTGAACGAGAAATGTCCCCCTCTCCCCTTTGGGGATGGCCTAAAGACACTACAGTCAGTGGCACTGCCCCGGGGGGTCCACATTTTGTGCCAAATGATGAATCATTTGTCACTCACAACTAGGGGAGAGGGAAATCCACTTACCCCCCCCCCCCCCCCCCCTCCCCCTTATACACACACACACACTTCCCAATCCTCAAATTTAGTAGGATTGGGTAGAATATGTAATATTGAATGAAGAAAAATCAGACGAATGCTTTAGAAAAAAAGCGCCATAGTCAATTTTTCAAATAAGCCTACAAGGTGAACATCTTTTATAAAATTTAATAATGTAGGACCTTTAGAAGTTGATTGCTGTCAATAAGGAAAAAAATTAAGTGGATTTCTTTACTTTTGTGTGATATGGCGTCCTGTCGTAAGCTCCTCATTCAACACTTGACATTCGTAGCGACATTTTCAAATAATGGTCTCAATGTCCTTTGCGATGTGGTTAAGCTCATTCTTTCAACCGCAACCACGTAATCTACGACAAACCAGCACCAATACCGTTGTATTTGGTATAAAGTCAGAATAGTTTGTTGTAATTGGATCAATCTGCTGAGTGGGCAGAACGGAAATATCAGTGGGTGGTTCGCGGGTGCTCTGGTGTGGTTTGCTCCTTCTTTCCTATCAAACATATATCGTCCTTATCTCCCCTCCTTTTTATTTTTGTATTTGTTACTCCCTTGTAACACCTCTAATCTTCGGCACTTATACATGTATGACCTAATTGTGTTGCAAGTTCCGTAACACTCTTACGTAAAAAAGGGAAATATCAACAGTGGGGCCGGGCACATGGATACTGGCGTTCCCTTTGTGTTTTGACACCACGTGGTTGTCCACGAGCGGAGCACAAAGGACTGACCAGTAAAGCACAGCCGTGTTTTGCGTGGTTGACTTTTGGACATGTTGGCCCTGTTTACTCCATGTGCACACACTAGGAACATTTTCCTCATCATATAACTGCGAAAGTAAGACGTCACTTGGTAGTGAAGAGAAAACTGACTAATTTGCACACTCTCAGCGTGCAACGAGTTTAGATTTTCCTAATGTGCGCGGCATGAAAGGGGTGTGGGAGACTAATACACTGTTGTCCATGTTTGCTTTGTTCAAGAAAGACATGTCGGCAGTTATGACACCGCTATTGGGTTATGGAAACCGACAGTTTAGGAACAGTAATAAATAATAATAAATAGCATAAAATTTGTATGGGGGCTCTCGTGGCCTAGAGGTTAAGGTGTTGGCCTCTCATTCAAACGTCCCGGGTTCGAATCCGGGTAGCGACCGAAATATTTTCTTCTCTAAAATTGTCTCCTTTCACCTCCTTTCCTCTCTAGCAATGTTCTGTTGTCTGCTTTCGTTTCCACTTTCTGCTCCCATCCCCTCACCCCCTTTGCCCCCTCCTTTGGGCTCCTGACTCTTTTCTGCAGCCTTTCTACTGCTACTCCTTGGCTCCTCCTTACTGCTTGTCTTTCTGCCACACCCCTGATCTTCTGGTAGGAAAGATGTACACCTAGCCATCTCGGACAAGGGCGAAAAATCTCAGAGGGCCCGTGTGCAAGTTGCGCACGTTAAAGATCCCTTGGTGGTCTAAAATCGATAAGAGTAGGCTTCGGCCGCCACCCGGGCAAAGTTCAAAATTTCCTACCAACTGAAAATATTAGGTGTCCCGCGCGCTCATATAACCTTATGCAGTTGCGAGCGCCGTAAAATACTCGCCACAAAAAAAAAGAAGAAAAAAAATTGTCTTGTGCATACCCCCGCTCGACAGCAAACTCAGTGCACTTTACACTAGATCTATATTATTACCCCAGCAGCGTTTGAGCGCTTATAATCAGCTGCTCGCACTGTCTGCTTCTCGTGAAGCTGAGAATGATTGTATGAATGTTCCGTGGTCTGCTGGGGTAATGTGTAAAGCGCATAGAGCTTGCTGTCGAGCGGGGATATGCGCTATGAAAATGCTATTTATCATTATTATTATTATTATTATTATTATTATTATTATTATTATTATTATTATTAATATTATAACGTTCAGAAACTTCCTCGGCTTCCCAGGCAGCCGATTAAGCTCGCAAACACGAGCTGAGTGATAAGATCTTTTGCTGTCTACTATAGCTGAGTACCCATTCTCACCTGGGTGAAGTGAGAAAAATTCGTGTTAAGTGCCTTTCCCAAGAACACAACGTCGGGCCCCTAACGGGATTCGAACCAACTACCTTATGTTTGATTGCTTTCAAGCCGTGGTAGCCAATTTCTTTAAACACACAGCTTTAGAATACGCCGATACAAGTGTCTGTGCTTCTACTTGCGTGTATGCTTGTGTCTGTGTATGTGTGTGTGTGGGTGTGTGTGGGTGTGTTTGAGTGTCTTGAGTTAGAGAGAGGGAGAGACAGACGGAGAAAAATTCCATTATTAAGAAAACCCACGTATGAGAGCAGTGTTTTAGAAGCAATACCTTTCGCTGTGAAGAGCGTTTATATCAGACAGAATTTCAAGAACATTATTTCTGGCTTGTTCAGTGTCTTGGCGAAATACCAAAAGCTCTGCCGTCAAATTGATCTAGATCTATACCGAGTCCCTGTTAACTGTTAAGCAGAACAATTTAAAAAAAAAACCAAACAACAAACAAATAAAAACAAAGAAACAAAATAAAACAAAACAACAAAATGTCGTAACACTTTAAAGATCACTTTAGTTGGTCGATGGTTTACTATACACATGGACCTGCAACTGAAGACGGAACAGCATGTGTATACAAATTCAAGACACAAAAAAGGATTAGATCAATATGATTTCAATAATTAAAAAAACATGTTATTGGTGTTTTGTCTTTTGAAAGAGAAACGAAGGCACAGTGACGTTGGCAAACACATCTCTCTCTCTCTCTCTCTCTCTCTCTCTCTCTCTCTCTCTCTCTCTCTCTCTCTCTCTCTCTCTCTCTCTCTCTCTCTCTCTCTCTCTCTCTCTCTCTCTCTCGCAAGATCTATACTATAAACCGTTCTATTGCTATTTTGGAGTGAAAGTGTAATAATTTTTTTAAAATAATAAAATAATAATAATAATAATAATAATAATAATAATAATAATAATAATAATAATAATAATAAT